CAACAACAAACCCTGCAACCCCACACTCATTAGAATGTAAATGGCACGAGGCCACGCCCTGGTGCCAGAATAAGTCTGTCTTGTTCCCTAAGATCTATCTATCACGTGCCAGCCACACAGTAGGTTTCCAACCATGCTTATTTAATGAGTTAATAAAAGATGATACTCAATGTCTAAGCTATAAACTCCGATCAATATCAGCGTGCAGTACCTCCATGGCGAGGTAAAGGGCGCCGACGCTCTGAGGTCACGGGCGCCGGCCTGGTGACGTCATCACGCCCGCGCTGTAGCTCGCTGAGAGCCAGCTAAGTGGCTGGGGCACTTCCTGCGTCTTCAGAAACCTGAGGACTTTGCGGTGCCCCGGAGTTAGCACCTACTGCTGCCAATCTCTTAGTTGCCGGCAGTGACCGCTGAAGCCCAGTGCTCCTGGCATTGGCCACCAGCTTTCACGCCTGCACCGATCTCCCAAAGGGAGAACGTCTCCTCAGGACCATGTCCAGGCCGAGTAGCGTCTCCCCGCGGCCCCCAGCTCCTGGCGGGGGCGGCGGGGGTGGGGGCAGCGGCGCAGGGGGCGGCCAAGCACAGTGTGGCCCCGGGGGCGGAGGCCGGGCCAAGGGGCTGAAGGACATTCGTATTGACGAGGAGGTGAAGATAGCAGTCAATATCGCCTTGGAGAGGTTCCGATATGGGGACCAGAGAGGTGAGGTTCCTGACCCGGACGCTTAAAGCGTCCCCTCAAACTCGGACCCCCCGAGTGAGCGCGTTTCCTCTCCCATACTCAAAGGGAAAGAAACTGGATTTGGTCGTACACCTTATCCCTTCAGCGTGAGAAGGTGACTGGCTGCAGAGGCAGGGGAAAGGCCGCGGTAGTTCATCACCCACTGGAATATGGAGGACCCGAGGAAGATGAGTAGGATTTGGAGGGTGGGGAGGTCACTGGCCTGGCATTTGGCAAATGGAAAAGTCAGGTTGACACCTCCAGGAGGCATTTCTTTTTCAGCACAGAGGCAAAAGGCATTGGCGTTTTATATCTTTTTTTTTTTTAATAAAGTTTATGACCTTAATAGAGCCAAGTTTAAACTATTAAAGCAGAAGAAAAGAGATGGGGGGGAACACCCCAAAACCAAAACAACCCAACAACTCAAATGGCATATGAATATTTCATATCCTACAAGTGTTATGTTAAATCCTTCATGCTCAAACACTCCTTACCATTGAGTCGGAACTGACTTCTTGCTGACCCTTCATTGGGTTTCTGAAGCTGTAAATCGCCACAGAGGAGATTGTTCCTCTTCCTTCCTCGGAGGCGCTGGTGGATTTAAACCACTGGAGAGGCATGGCCTTTGCCTTAGCAGTTTAGCCCCCTACTGACTAACTAGGCCACCAGAACTTTGTTAAGCCCTTAGGATAGTTAAACTTTTTTGCATAAAATGCATCTTCCATTCATCTGGAGGATAGAAGAATACTTAGTTTGGATTATAGAGTGCAGAACTAGCAAGCATGGGACAGAGTGCATATTCTGATTTGTTGTACTGAGCACACACTGGTTCGAATCCACCCACTCCTTTGGGAGAAGATGGGTAGTCACTCCATGCCTTGGAAAACCCCATGGAGGGTCAGCTAAAAGCTCGGTTCTGACTTGATGATACAACAACAACAACTAGAATTTAGGAAGCTCTGGTGGCCTATTGTGCTGTAACCAGTTGCTCAGTGGGAGAAGGATGGGCAATCTGCGATTTACTACCTCTGACCCGCTGAAGATCACCTGTGGGTCAGATCTGACTCAATGCTCAAAGCAACAAAAAAACACAACTGGAAATTTACAGTCCAGAATAGAGACTGACGTGGATGGAGTTTTAGCACTTTATGACTACAAAATTCAGCCTTAAATATTGAAATATTCTCTGAAGTTTCTAAAAAGAAAGCAAACGGAATCCAATGTAGAGCATTCATAAAGCTTGAGCATGCTTCATTATTCAGGGTAATAGACATTTTATTAATAAGTAAAGACTAAAATAATAAAATAAGCAGATTAGTCATAGTCCTCCAAGTCAGGATTACAGCACAGCAGAAGAATACCTTTTGGCTAACATGAAAATCTTCTATCAGATTTAAGTTTAATGCATAGATAACATTTTATTGTAATAGCTATCTTAGATGTATAATAGCATTTTTGTAAGTCAGTACTTAATGCATAATGCATAAATTTGGTAAGACTAAATTTACATATTTACATTTTTTTAAATTCTATATTTCCTGTCTATGTATAAATTGAAGCACTTTGAAAGAAGTTTTCCTATCCAGAAATCGTGCTGACAATTTTATCTTTTTCCATGTAGAAATGGAATTTCCTTCTTCTTTGACCAGTACTGAAAGAGCCTTTATTCATCGTTTAAGTCAGTCTCTTGGTTTGGTCTCTAAAAGCAAAGGGTAAGCTGATGAATTTTTTTGTTTTTTTAAAAAGATGATCTGCAAAAGGATGTTTATAACTACATTAAAATAGTTACTGGTTATTATTCTGTATGTGCATAAACTGAATTAGTTTTCCTCCTAATTTTTATAAGATTTCTTCTGTGATAATTTGCAGTTTCCTCAGTTTATCTTTTTTGCCTTCATTTCTTTGAAAATGAAGCTGTGTAAGATTTTATTATTCTTTTATGATTATTCATATTTTGATGAAAATGTTATTCTTGGAGTCACACAACCGTTTTGTGATCTTTGTTCTTTTATAGACTGTTGAATTGATTATGATGAATAATAACCCTGCAAACTATAATCAGAATCTTGCCCTATCCTGTGCCATTCTCATCTCCAACTTGCTTAAGTCCACTGTTACTTTATCAGTCCATCTTGTTGAGGGCTGCCTCCTTTTCCTCTCTCTTCCCACCTTTCCCATCATGATGTCGCTGCTTGTTGTCTTTGTGTGGTGTTTTGTACCATCCAGTAGGAAATGATTCATTGGCGACCCTCCAGTGGGTGTTCAGAGGCAGTAAATTGCAAAGAAGGAGATTGCCTATCTTTCTGTGGTGGAGCCCCTGGTGGGTTCAAGCAGCTTGCTTTTGGGTTGGTAGTTCAGTGCCGTATCCCTGGACCATCAGAGCACTTTCTTTTTTTTTTTTTTTTATCAGAGCGCTTTCTGACCTTTAATGTATCCTAAAATTTTCTTTGAAATGTTAGGTTTCTAAAACCAAAAATGTTTACTTCCTCAGAGTTTATGCTTTTCTTCAACTAAGGCCCTTTGCTTTCATCTGAGAACACACATTTCTGAGGTTTTACTTTGTTCGTGAACAAAACAAAACAACAAGGACCAGAAATTGATGGTATACCAGTTTACATAGTTCAGCAAACAGGCACTTCCCTGGATGCGCTCACCAAGTTTTGCCAAGAAATTTGGAGGACAACCACCTGGCCAACTGACTGGAAGAGATCCATATTCTCATTTAAAAAAGACACAACAGAGTGTGAAAATTATGGAACAATATCATTAATATCACATGCAGGCAAAATCCTGATGAAAATTATCCAAAAATGACTGGACCAGCACATCAGCAGAGAAGTGACAGATGTGCAGGCTTTGTTTAGAAGAGGCTTTGGTACAAGGGATATAATTGCTAATGTTAGATGGATCTTGACTGAAAGCAGAGAATACCAGAGGAATGTCTGTGTTTCATTGACTCTGAGGCATTTGATTCTTGATCACAACAAACTGTGGCTAACTGTGAGAAGAAAGGGAATCCTAGAAGACTAGGTTGTGTTTATGCTTATGTGAAACCTATACTTGGACCAGGAAGCAGTCATCAGAACAGAGCAAGGAAACATTGCATAGTTCAAAATCAGGAAAGGTATATGCTAGGGATGCTTCCTATCGCCATACCTTTTCAATCTATATGCAGAACAGATAGTCTGCGAGACTGGACTCTATGAGGAGCAATATAGCATCAGGATTGGAAGGAGACGCATCAACATTTTGTGTTATGCACTTAACACAATCTTACTTACTGAAACCGAGGAGGACCTTTTGCTGCAGTGGGTCAAGGACTGCAGCCTTCAATATGGATTAAAGGTTAACATCAAGAAAACAAAGAACCTTACCACAGGGCTGATTGGCAGCATCCTCATAGATGGTGAGGAGATTGAGATGGTTAACAGCTTCAGTTTGCTTGGTTCCACAATCAACACTTTTGGGACCAGCAGCTAGGAAATCAAAAGATGAATTGCATTGGGAAAATCTGCTATCAGGGACCTCTCCAGAGTACCGAAGAGCAATGATTTTGGCCTGGAGACCAGGGTGAACATGATAAAGATGATGGTTTTCATGATTACTTGCTATGCATTCAAAAGCTGAATAATGGCTAGGGATGCTAGAAGGAAAATCAATGCTTTTGAGTTGTGGTATTGCATATACCATGGACTGCTAGGAGAACAAACAAGTTCATCCTGGAGAGGGTGAAACCAGACTGCTTCTTGGAGGCAAGGATTCTGAAGCTCTGTTTGACATGTTTTGGGCAGGTTGCCACGCGGGATCAATCCTTGGAGAGGACTTGAGAAGGTGCAAGGATAGTGCAAGAGAGGAAGACCCTTGATGAGATGGATTGACTCAGTGACTGGGATTATGTGGGTGGGTGTGTTGGGGATGATGAAGTTGGCACAGGATAGAGCAGAATTCAGAGCTGTTGTACACATATAGTTACTACGAGTCACAAGCTACTTCATGGCATTTGACAACAACATGCCACAAATTTTACTACATTTAAAATTCTTTAAGTATTGGGAGGAAATGGTTGTAATTATTTTAATTGTTTCATCCTCTAGCATAATTTAAGAAAATCATACATATGACAACAACAAGCCCTTTTAAGGAATAGATGCACTATAGAAAGTTTGTAATTCATTAAAGGATTCAACAATCAATTTTCAGTAATTAAAAATCTTGGTATTTGGCAATATGATTTAGAAGATTTAGAAAGCTAAGTCTTTATAGAGTAATCCCAAATTAAAAGCATTTTTGTAGGGAAGCTATTTCTTAATAATAGCTAATGAAAAGACAAAATTTATGCATGTAATTTTTATCATATTTGTAGCTTTATTGCATATTTCTATAACATGGTCATGACATTAACAAATGGTTAACAACCTATGAAATATTTTTAGTAGCTTTTAAAAAATATGTTGTTGTTGATTGCCTTCGAGTTGAGCACAACTCATAGCAACCCGATGAACAAAAGACTTGAAAGCCCCTCTGCAACTATTGACATTTATCAAAGCCCGTAGAGTTTCTGTTATTTAGGAAGTGAATGTCACTCCTGCTTCCAAATTTTTTAAATAAAAGAAATGATATTTTCCTAAGTAATTGTAATAATAAACCTAAATTAAACCAATTGCCATTGACTTGACCTCAGTGTCAATGGCTGGAACCTTTTAGAAAAAGACTTTCCTCCTAGGCACCTTTGAGTGGATTTGAATTGACAAAGTTTTAGGGTAGTAACTGGGTACTCAACAGTTTGTGCCACTCAGTGGTCCTTAATTTAATAATAGCTTTCTTTGTTTAGAGCTTACTTGTTAATCTTGATACTGTATTTTACATGTTATCTCATTTAATCATATTAAGGAATCATTCTTTGAGGGAGGTATTACTATTACCTTAGTCTTTGAGCCTTAATTTTTATATGGTCTCAGAGTTAGAGTGGGAGGTCTGGGATTCAAACCAAGTTCATGTGCTTTCAGAGTTTAAGCCCTTAATCAGTACTCCACTGCTGAGTTATGGACATGTGTTGTTAATACAGTCAAAATACATTTGAAGTCTTCTTGTGTGATAATGTAATATAAAAGGCTTGGCTAATCTTGGGCCAAGTTAAAGAAGCTAATACTCCTATATTATATAATTTAAGAACAATTATAAATTATTATTACCTTAGAGTCAAAGGGTAGGGTTGTTGTTGTTATTAGGTACTATTGAGTTGAGTATGACTTACAGTGATCCTATGAAAAACAGATCTGAACCCTGTCCTGTCCTTTGCCATTTGCACAATCTCGAACACACTCAAGCCTATTGCTGCAGTCACTGTGTCAGTGGACCTGGTTGAGGGTCTTCTTCCCCTTTGCTGACCCTCCACCTTCCCAAGCATCATATCTTTATCCAAGGAATAGCCTCTATCAGCAAAAATAGGGGGAAAAAAGTAAAAAAAAAATACCTAAAGTTCAATGGCTTTTTTTTTCTGTCATCATTGTTCATTGTACAGCATAGCAAACGACTTTAGATATTGTTATTTTGTTATTTGAGTCAAAGTTTAAAAAACAAATTAGTTTTGTATATACCACTTACTATCATTTTCTTTCTAGCATACATGTTTACTTATCCCTTTCCTGCCTTCTAGGCTATATCCCTGGGAAGATGGTGCCCCTTTGCTCATAAGTGGTTGATTATTCTAGAGAATGTATATGGTCCTGTTGTTATTATTTACTTTATAGGCCTATCTGTTGTCTGGCTGATAATGAAGCCACAGGGGTGAACTTTGTTTCTTATTTGAAATGTGACCAAGAATCATAGTCCTTTGAAGATTAAAATTGTCAGCAATCATTTTGCTTGGATCCACAGCACTCATGTTAGTAGCAGTCAAGAAATCAAAAGACACATTGCTCTGGGAAAAATTTTCTATCAAAGACCTTTACAAGGTTGTAAAGAGCAAGGATGCCTATTTAAAAACTAAGGTACACATAATCCAAGTCATGGTCTTTTCAGTCTCTTTCTGTGCATCTTTTGAACAATGGATGAGGATGCCAGAAGAAGAATCAGTGCCTTTGGACTGTGGTAATAAGAGAATAGGACTGAATATGCCATGGATTGCCAAAAGAACAAACAAATCTGTCTTGAAAGCAGTACAACGTGAGTGCTCTTCAGAGGTGAAGGTGGTGAAACTTTGTCTCTCTCAGTTGGACATATCAGGAGGAACTAGTGCATGGAGAGAGACATGTTGGGCAAGATAGAGGGTCAGAGTGAAAGGAGAAGACTCTTAACTAGATGGATTGTCACAGTGACTGTAAAGGGCTAGACATGGCAGAGATGGTGAGGATGGCACAGGATTGGGCTAGATTCAGATGTGTTGTTCTTAGTCATATGCTATGAGTTGACTTGATGGTACCTAACAATGACCACAAGAGTAACTCAGCAGTTGCTATGAGATCAATAAAACTGGCCATTTTTATATTTCTGAGTTTTGCTCTACATTTTTACCACTTTATTTAGGACTTTGTGTTATACTCCTTATTTTGGTTAATAGTGCAACGAATTATGAATTTGGCCACCAGAGCATCTTCTCGGATCCCTTTTTGAGTGGTAGCAAGATGGGTTAGAAACTTCTTAAAATAGTTTTTGATTTTGTTTTTAAAACATCTAAAAATAGTTACTGGAATTAATAATCTGCTTTTTATTTAGCTCAGCCACTAAACTTGATTCTCTTAACCAATCTTTATAGAATTTTAACATTTCCAGTATGCTATGGAAACATTCACCGGGAGGTATTAGTCTGAACAATCAATCGTAGCTTTCCACAATTGTTTCTTGTTTCTCTTGTTTAGACTGATTATCTCCCACTGTATGCTTCCAGCATATGTTAACTATTTACGTTTTATGTACTATGAATCCTGTTAGAGACAAACTTTAACACAAACTTTATGGATAAGTATTTTTTATTGATAAATAGTTTTGAAAAACAGTATTGCTACATTTTAAAATTATAAATGAAAACGATCTGACCACTTTAGTTCTAAACCCTTCTTTACTGTTTTGTGTGTGTATGAATGTGAATAAAGGGATACTTTCAGTGTATTATCCCAAAGCAATTTGCATTGCTTGAGAGCATTTTCTTAGTGGATATATATCATGTGTAAACAAGTTGACTAAATGTAGTAAAATGACTTTTTATTGCTGTTTTAGAAAGGGAGCAAATAGATACCTAACCGTGAAGAAGAAAGATGGATCAGAAACAGCTCATGCAATTATGACCTGTAATTTGACTCATAATACAAAACATGCTATAAGGAGCCTAATTCAGAGATTTCCTGTCACCAATAAAGAACGCACTGAACTTTTGCCTAAAACAGAAAGAGGAAATGTATTTGCAGTTGAAGCTGGTATGTATTTTCTGGGGACCTTCTTTATTTATCCTCTTATTGATGACTGTATTTTTTCCATGTTAGAGTTATTTTCAAAAGCTTAGGATGAAAGAAGATTCCTCAGTTTGAATAAAGATTGTTAAAAATGACTGAAATTGTGATCGTTTTGGAATGGAAGGTACTATGAAGGCATATTATAGAGTTGAACGAAGGATTGCTTTTTAAAGTGATACACTAATAGGTACCACTTATTGAGCACTTACTTCTTGGTAAGCAAAATACTAATATTTTTTTTCATAGTATCTAATAACCGTTGCATGGCAAGAATTTTTCCTATTTCACAGGTGAAGAAACTAGAACTCAGAGAAATAAATTAATATAAGAAGTTAAATAAGTCCAGTCAGCCAGTAAACTGCATTGCTGAAATTTGACTGTAAGACTTGAAATTTCCTATATTATACTACTGTGATACACTAACAGAGATTTTTAATTGGGCCTTAACTTCTGGTAGAAGAATAGACAGTGTTCAGCAATTAACTTCTTAAAATGAAGATAAATAAATATATATTTAGATTATAAAATAAAGCTCTTGTTGGAAAAAATAATTTCCTTAATGAGAAAATTCATAGGCGAGAGAGATAGGCAGTCTCCTCCCCAGTGATTTACCACCTCTGAAAACCCACTGGCAGGCCAGCTATGAATTGTTCCTGACTCAATGGCATATAACAACAATGAGAAAATTTGATTGACAAAATTTACATGAAAGCAGGTCTATAGAATGTAGAAAACACAAGATTCTCATTATTTAGGAATTTAAGTTTGAACACACAATATTGTACCTCTTATTGAGGTTGTTAACAATATCAGCTTTCTTGGATCCACAATCGACATTCTTGATACCAGCAATCAGGAAATCAAAAGATGAATTGCATTGGGGAAGTTTGCTGTCAGGGACCTGTCTAGAGTACTAAAGAGCGATGATATAAATCTGGAGACTAACGTGCACCTGATCCAGGCCATGATGGTCTTTGCAATTATGTGCTATACATCAGAGAGTTGAACTATGGATGACAGAAGGAAAATTGATGCCTTTGAGGTGTGGTGCTGGAGAAGAATATTGACTATACCATGGACCACCAAGAGAAGAAATAGATCTGTCTTAGAGAGAGTAAAACCAGGCTACTCCTTGGAGGCTAGGATTTTGAAGCTCCATTTCACATACTTTGGGCACATGACCAGAAGGGACGGGTCCTTGGAGAAGGACATCATCCTTGGAAGGGTGGAGGGACAGCACAGGAGAGAAAAACCTTGGATGAGATGGATTGACATGGTACAGTGGGATTAGGTGTGTCATAGTCAGTGAGAGTGGCTCAGGATAGGGGAAGGTTCAGAGCTATTGTACATAGTGTTGCTGTGAGTCTCAGGTGACCCAATGGTGTATAACAACAGTTAAGGGTGTATGTTGACAAAAATGCTTGATTAGGAAATTTTTCATGCATTATACCTTTATCTACAGTTTCGAAGTTGTTTCTGCTCCATAGCATCCCTATAAAGCAGAATAGAACTTTCTTACAGGGAATCCCAGAACACTTGATTTTGCTCATGGGGAACCTATACTTGGATTCATCAAAACAGAGCAGGAAGACACTGTATGTTTCAGAATCAGAAAATGAGTGTGTCAGGGTTTTGTCCTGTCTCCACACTTCTCAGTCTGTGTACAGTACAGATCATTTGGGAAGCTAGTCTTTTTGAGAAGGAATGTGGCATCCGAATTGGAGAAAGATTCATCAACAACTTGCTTTATGCAGATGACACAACCTTCTTGCTCACTAAACCAGCAGAGGGTGTGAAGAATCTACTGCAGAGGGTCAAGGACTACAGTCTTCAATATGGATTGAAGCTCAACATCAAGAAAACAAAGGTTCTCAGCAATGGGATTGACAGCACCATGATAGATGGACAAGAGATTGAAATTGTCTACAATTTCTGCTTGTTCAGGTCTATAATCACCACTCTTGGAACCAGCAGCCAGGAAATCAAAACATGAATTGAGTTAGGAAAATCTGTTGTCAGGGAGATCTCCAGTAAGCTGAAGCGCAAAGATGTCTGTCTAGAGATAGGTTGCACCTAATCCAGGCCATGGTCCTCACAGTTACTTGCTATGCAACAGAGGGCTGAACAGTGACTAAGGATGACAGAAGAATTGATGCCTTTGAGTTGTGGTATAGAAGAAGAGTATTGAACATACTATGGACCACCAAGAAAACAAACAGGTCTATTCTGGAGAGGGTGAGAGCAGGCTGCTCCTTGGAGGCAAGGATTTTGAAGCTTCGTGTGACATACTCTGTGCATGTTGCCAGGAGGGACTGGTCTTTGGAGAAGGACATCATGATTGAATGGGACAACACAGGAGAGGAAAATCCTGGATGAGATGGATTGGCACAGTGACTGAGGTAATAAGGGGAGGTGTGTAGGAGACAGATTTTCTCAGAACAGCATAGAGTTCAGAGCTACTGTTCATAGAGTCCCTATGAGTTGCAAGCAACTTGATCACACATAACACCAACAACATAGGGTTTTACATCTTTATAAGAGAATCTCTCATCTTTTCCCCCTAGCAGAGTGGTGTCCAACCACAGTGCCTCCTTTTGTCATGCAAATATTTCCTTTTTGTTGCGTACCATTGAGTTGGAACTGACTTATAGCAGACCTTCCAGTGGGTTTTCATAAGCAGTTGATTGCATGGAAAGAGATTGCCCATCCTTCTTCTGTGGAACAGCTGATGGATTTGAACTGTGTCCTTTGGGATTGCAACACAGATTATTAGCACTAGGCCATATTCAAAACATGACCTTAAGTGTATAACTTTAAACATAGAGCATTTAAAGTTTTCTAATATATTTTCATGTGCTACATAACGGGTTTTATAAGTAGGATATATTGTTGTGTACTGTAGAGTTGGAACTGGCCCATAGCTGACCCTCCAGTGGGTTTTCAGAGGCAGTAAATCTCATAGGAGGAGATTGTCCACCCTTCTCTCATGGAGCAGATAGTGACCTTGAACCACACGCCTTTATGATTGCAGCACAGCTTCTTGCCACTAGGCCACCAGACCTGGACATACTTATCTTGTTCAGTGACAGTTAAATTTTCTTACTGATTGAAATTTATAGCAAGCTTGAAAATAATTTTAGAATATCAAAATGATTTTTGAATGACTGATTTTTGTGCATTTTTAAACATTACACATCAGAAATATTACTGATAAAATATCTAATTGATACAGATAATATATTTTTATGAGTGTTAAATGTGGGATTACAACAGATAATACAACTTTTATAGGTTGAGTAGAGAAGGAATAAATTAGCTTTAGTAATGTGAAAATACTGCACATTTTTTTCACATTTTGATGACCATAAATTTCTGTAATTTATTTTCAAAGAAAATCGAGAAATGAGCAAGACCAGTGGGCGACTCAACAATGGTATACCTCAGGTTCCAGTGAAAAGAGGAGAATCGGAATTTGATTCTTTTAGACAATCTCTTCCAGTGTTTGAGAAACAAGAAGAAATTGTGAAAATAATTAAAGAAAATAAAGTCGTTTTGATTGTGGGAGAAACCGGGTCTGGAAAGACTACCCAGGTTTGTTTCTTTTCTGTTGTTTATAGGAGAAGAAAAATGTGTTATCCTATTTTTTAGTTTTATATCAAATTTTTGGCACATATATATGATCTATATAAAGTATATAAAATTCACAAAGTTGCTAAATTGAAAGTAATATTAATAATAATATGGAGCTGACTACAGAAGGAAATTGATTTATCAGATGTGTCTCAAATGTTTAGACTCAAATCATCATAAAGTTTACTCACAAAGCGACAGATGGGAAATAAGTGAGGCACCATATTATAACTTGTTTACCTTATTTAAATTTTGGCATATTATAAGAGTAAAATGATTTTGCTTTTGTTGAGATTCAGGTAAACTTCTTGTTGTTAGGTACCATCAAATTGCTTGCAACAACAATAGATCTGAACCTTGCCCTATCTTGTGGCATCCTCACCGTCGCTGATACATACTAGAAACTTGTTATTATTTACTGTGTCATTTAATCTTGTTGCAGGTCTTCCTCTTTCTCTGGCCCTCCACCTTTCCCAGCACAGTATCTTTTTCCAAGGACTGGCCTCTACAGACAATATGTGAGATAAAGTTCCACCATCTTTAACGCTAAGGAGCACTTAGATTACATTTCTTCCAAGACAGATGTGTTTGTCAGATAAACTAGTCAATGTAATGATTTGGAGTGCTCTGGTAGCCGTGTTGCTCTGCAAATTTAAAGGCATGTGGTTTAAATCCACTAGCTACTTCACTGGAGAAAGATGGGCTGTCTCCTTCCATGTGATTTACTGCCTCTGAAAACCCACTGGAGGGTCAGCTATGAGACAGTTCTGACTTGGTGACAGACATAACTCTGACTTGACCTAACATTTTCAAAGAAATAAAACTTTATCACTAAACCTTGATTCTGTAAAACTAAATAAAAGTAGGATGAAATTTTTTTCTGAGAATTATATATACTATTTTTCTTTTAAAATTTGGTTACATTATTTAAGATTTTCTAAGATAGTTTATCCAGATGTCTTCTGTTGTTAAAATTGTTTTAATATTGGAATGTTGTTGTGTGCCATTGAGTAGCCTCCAACTCATAGTGACCATATGTACAACAGCTCTGAAGCCTGCCCTGTCCCCTGTCCTCAGCCAGTCTCCCTGACTCTGACACACCCACCCCCATTGCCTCAGTTACTGTATCAATCCATCTCAGCCTGAGTGTTCCTCTTCTGTGCTTTCCCTCTACCTTTCTGAGCATGATGTCCTTCTGCAGTATTGGAATACTTTTGTTATTGGACTTTAACTATAGAAGCTTATTTTTATTTAATAGAGATTACGGAAGATTTGTTAAAATGTAGAAAGTATTTTTTTATTTAAATGTCTTTGCTGATAGTATTTATAGTTTTGAATTATAGATGCATGTTTTTACAATTATGTGTCATATTTTATACAATCCCAGAGGCAAGCGGTTTGAATTCACTGGCTGCTCCGTGGGAGAAGGCTGGGCAATCTCCTCCCATGTGGTTTACTGCCTATGAAAACCTGGTGGAGGTCAGCTATGGGTCAGTTCTGACTTGATGGCATACAACAGCAACAACATACCATTTTATAAGATGTGGAAAGATACTTCAGGATTTAATTCATTTTCAATAGTCATTTGTTAGTTGCTGTCCAGTCAAACCAGGACTCTTGAGTGACACTGTAAATAATGAATCTAAACTTTACCCTCTCTTGCACCATCCTATTGATTTGTCATTGAGCTCAAGCACATTGCTGTAGTCATTGTGTCAGTCCATCTTGCTGAGAGTCTTTATCTCTGTTCCTGACCTTCTACCTTTCTCAGCATGGTATCTCTCTCCAAGGACTGGTTCTTCCTAAAAACATGTCCAAAGAAGGTGAGACAGAGGTTTGCCATCCTTGCCTTTAAGGAGTATTCTGTTTACACTTTCTTCAAGACAGATTTGTTTGGTCTTTCAGTAGTCCATGGTGTATTCAACACTTCATAAACACTGTGATTTTAAGGCATCAGTTCTCTCATGATCTTCCATATTCATTGTCCAGCTTATAGATGCATAGGAGACATTTGAAAATACCATGGCTTAGATCAGGTGCACCTTATTCTTTAAACTGATCCTCCCTTTTTTAGAACTTTGGAGCATTCCTTTCCACAGGCTTCCACAAAGCAACGCAACATGTAGATTGGTTTCTTGACTGTTGCTATAACACCTGTTAAGGTGTTGATTGTAGAGCTAAGTAAAATTAAATAGTTGACTACTTCAATTCTTTCCCAATCTATCATGATATTGCTTGCTGGTCCTGTGGTGAGGATTTTTTTTCTTGATATTGAGATGTAACTTCTTAGATCTTCTGAAGCAAGTGCTTCAACTGCTCTTTCCTTTCTGCAAGCAAAGTTGTATGATCTGCATAAATGCAAATTGTTAAATCCTCCTCCAGTCTTCATGTTGCATTCTTATTTTAATTAGGAATTAAATATTATATTATTTTGCTTTTCAAGATGAAACTGTTAATCTCATAGGTTTAAACCTAAGAAATGATCGTAACCTGTACAAGGAGTAAAAGTAATATGCTTCATTAAATTTACTGTATTGAAATTACTAATGTTTCTTTTTCATGAAGTGAAACTTAACATTGAATTTAAAGTTAATATCATTAGCCAACTCTGTCATGCCTTTAAAGGTATTATGCAGTATCTTGCTGTTTGAATTGTTTTTCTTATTCATGTCCCTTTTGTAAAATACAAACTGAAAATATTACAGAGGAAGGAAATGAATTTTGATTCTCTAGCCACCCTCTCTCTGTAGTTTGGTGAGAAACTTAGATTATATTTTTTTGTTATTTTGTTTTGCTTTGTTCTCTATAAATGTGATGTAAATTTTTTTTTATTCTTTGGATGAAGATGGGATGATATTTATACATTTTGAATCTTGCTTTTTTCACTTTTTAGATATTAGCTATTTAGAGACACCTTATGTTTTTCTTTTAAATAATATTCCTGATCATTTTTTAGTAACAACTGTATTAATGATATTTTGTGGCTGGGCTTTTATAAGGTTTCTTATTTAAACTTCTCAAAAAACCCACTACATATAGGCTTTATTATCTAGAATTTATTTTGTAATATATCAGTAGAAATCTTCTCTTTTCCTTTCTTGATAATGTCTACTTGTTCCAATATAATTTTTATTTAATACTTTGTTTCTAATTTAAGATGCTGCTTTTAGTTAAATGCATTGTGATGTTCCTTTTGTTTACCATTGTTGTTATTTGCTGTTGAGTTTCCTGCCACTCATAGTGACCCTGTGTACAATAGCTCTAAAGCCTGCCCTGTCCTGAGCCAATCTCACTCACTCCGACACATTGTGCTAGTCACTCTATCAGTCCATCTCATCCGGAATCTCCCTGTCCTGTGCTTTCCCTCCACTCTTCTGAGCATGATGGCCTTCTCCAAGGGTCGGTCCCTCCTGATCACATACCCAAAGTATTTTGGGAAGACAGACCTTCAAAATCTTAGCCTACAAGGAGAAATTTGGTTTTACACTCTACAAGACAAACATATTTGTTTCTTGGTGGTCCATAGTATGTCCAAGACTTCTCCATTTCCACAACTCAGAGGCATCAATTCTTCTATCATCCTTAGTCATCCTCCAGCTCCCTGGTGCATACATAGCAAGTAAAGTTTACCATTGAGTTGGAACTAACCCATAGCTGACCCTCCAGCAGGTTTTCAGAGGCAGTAAAACACTCACAATGAAGGAAATTGCCCTTCCTTCTTCCCAGAGCATCTGGTGGGTTAGAACTGTGTGACCTTTGGATTGCAGTAAAGCTTTTTACTGCTAGACCACCATATAGAATTTTATAATACCTTAATTTATTTCTGTAGTCTTTAGGAAATCCATCATACACCTGATAGGAGAAAAATGGGCAGTTTCCTCCTGTGTAATTTACAGCCTCTGAAATACCTCTCACTGGAGGGTCAGTTATGAGAAGGTTCTGTCTTGATGACGATTTTTTGACAGATCTATTTGTGTAGTTTTTGTTATGTATCTTAATAATTTCTTACCTCGAGATTTCTCCTCTTGCTGTTTTAGTTTTTTAGTACATTTCACTGTATCTGTAAATACTATGAAATTGTCACTGGAGTAATTAGGATAGGTGTGTTAGAGACAATAAGATTGGCAAGTGATAGAGCAGGGTTTAGGGCTGTTGTACATAGGGTCACTATGAGTCGAAAGTGACTCAATGGCATGTAACAACAATAACAACAACAATTGTTTTACAGAATGATATTCCTTATATTCTCTTCTTGGCAGTTTTTGTCTATTTATTATTCTAGATGAGCTAGTTTAAAATTTCAGATTGTAAGAAATGCCATGAAGAGATATTTTTGTTTCTTTAAAATGTAGTTCAGAAAAACTAACACATTATTTAACTATCACATTGGCACAAATGAAAAATTGGTGATACCCAGTATTGGTGTGGATGTTGGAAAATCGATGCCTTTGGCTTTATTGAAAGCAATATAAATTTATTAGGAGGACAATTTAATAAATTTCCTGTGTAAATTAAGAGATCATAGACGTTTTGACTCAGTGTTTCAGTATGTTATTTCATGGCAAGTAATTTATTTCACAGCAAGTATATCTTTGCAAAAGTATGTGAACACAGATGATCATTGCAGTATTGTTTATAAATAGCAAGCAGTAACATCAGTAGTAACATCTTAAAATAAAAATTAACTTAATGTGATGTTAAGTTTGTTATATATTATAGCACATCCTTATGATGGATTTTAAAATGAATTGTGCCAATCTGATATGTAAATGAAATTTGCGAATTACTAACATAAAGTACAATAAGCACTTATGTGAATAAAGAACATATTACTACATATAAATATAGTGATTTATTTAAATCAGTCCTCCCTCTCCCTGGTGAAAGAGTATTTTTTCTGTACCATTGAGTCAGAATTGACTCGTAGCTGACGCTCCAGTGAGTTTTCAGAGGCAGTAAATTGCACTGGAGGAGATTGCCCATCCTTCTCCCACAGAGCGACTTGTGGGTTTGAACCATGTTCCTTTGGATTGGCAGCACAACTCCTTACCATTAAGTTACCCGATCTTCCTGGTTAAAGAGTATAGAAGAAACAATAGTAACTTTTAAACAGAGGACTGTAAATGGTGGTAGGTAGAGTCACTTTTAAAGCTTTCTGGCTTGTTTATATTTTATTTATAGATGAACCTCTATGATCTGACATAATTGGCTATTAAATTTTTGTTTATACTGTCACTTACTTGTTTAAAAGTCTCATTACATTTGGATTGTTGGCGGCCTAGTGGATTAGGAGTTGCAGTGCCAACTGAATGCTTGGCTTCACCTTAAGGCTGAGGGCTAGTGTGTTGTGAGTTGTGTTGTTTTTGGTTTGTTTTTTTTTTGTGAGTCAGTTTTATGTTTGAAGTCATGATGGCCTCTTGCATCTTGAGGAGGGACAGGTTTGGAACACTCGGCACTCTTATGACTTTCTTTTCATCCATAGTGGTGTCAGCAGATGGGACTTGCCAAATGAACTGGGGGTCTCTGGCTAACAGTCCACCAGCATGTGGGCATGCTGGAACTGAAAAGCAGGCAGTTCAAATCTACCAGTCAAGGGAGAAAGATGGCCAGTTTCCCTCTGTGTGATTTACAGTCACTGGAAACCTACTATTTTTGTAATTAGCTATGAGTTGGTTCTGACTTGATGACAATGAGTTTGAGTTCAAGTTTTCATTAACTTTAATAGAATAATTTGGGGAAAATTTAGACTTTGATGGTACTTACTGTTCCTTCCAGGAATATGGATGGATAATAATTTTTATTATTCTGGTTTTCTTTTTCCCCTCTTTTGTGTAAACACTATTTCTTGATAGTTACAGTTTCTATTCTGAACAAGATCTTTTAAAATGACATTTTTCTAGAGCTGATTATTTCTAGTTGCATGAAAATGATTGATTTCCTTGTGATCTTTTTACATTATGATATATTAAAATGGAACTTTTTTAGTTTGGATAGGTTTTCAGTGGATTCACTTGAGTTTTCTGTTATACTGTCATTTCATTTTTCAGAATTTTAAAACTTTTTGTTGCAGATTCCTCAATTCCTTTTAGATGATTGCTTCAAAAATGGCATCCCCTGCCGTATATTTTGTACTCAACCAAGACGATTAGCAGCGATTGCTGTGGCTGAAAGAGTTGCTGCAGAGAGGAGAGAAAGGATTGGTCAGACAATTGGGTATCAAATTCGATTAGAGAGCAGGTAAAATTAATCCTCCTGTAGCCTTTTTTATTATATTTAGAAAAGCTTAAATAATTGTATTTCACACTTTAGAGACTGTTAATAGAAGTATGCGATAATCCTTTTCCTCCTAGTAAGTATAAGGGTGGTGCTTGTGTCTCAACTCAGTGAATTTTCTAAAAATAACTATTATTTAGAAATATGGTAGAAGCCAAAGGGAAACTAAAGTTACTGCTTTTCTCTTTTAAAAGAATTCTATGCTGATAGTGTTTAATAAGGTAATAAGTATCATTTAGGTGAGTGTAGTTTATATTGTTTTAAAATGACTTCTGCTCTATTACATATTTATATTTATATTTGTGAAGCTTGAGAACTAATCATCTCAAGTAGTGAATTTGAATATTCATGACATGGTTAAAAGTTGAGAGCTATATCTATAATAGTCTTATTCATAATTTCAGTTAATGACAGCTATCTCACTTATTTGAGCTTTAGTTTTTAGTTTCCTCAGTTGAAAAATTAAGCTAATAAAAGCACACAGATTTGAGGTGAAATACATAATAAGTATTCAATAAATGTTATATGTCACTGAGTTGGAACTGACTCATAGCTGACCTTCTAGTGGGTTTTCAGAGGCTGTAAAATGACACAGGGGAGATTGTCTCTCCTCCGTTGGAACAGCTGGTGGATTCAAACTGCTTGTCTTTGCAGTGCAACTCCTTACCACATGGCCACCAGGGCAACCTCAGTAACTGTTAGTGACTTAATTTATTAAGTAGTTGTAATAATATGAAGGTGCCTTGGTAACACATTGATTACACACTTATCTGCTAATATGAAGGTGCCTTGGTAACACATTGATTACACACTTATCTGCTAATTGAATGGTCAGTGCCATTCTGCTTCTGTAAAGATATACAACCTAGGAAACCCTCTTTGACAATTGTACTCTGTTGAGATTTGCTGTGAGTCAGAGTTGACTTCAAGGAAATGTGTTTGTTTTGGGGGGGGGAGTTTTAGAAGTTGCACTAGTAATATCTACTTGGAAGTGTATTATTTCTTGGTGTCTTCATTAATTCGTATATGTTGTTGTTATGTGCTGATGCACTGGAACCAACTTGAAACTGAGCCTCCAAGTGAGTTTTTAGATGCTGTCAGTTGCATAAGGGGAGACTGCTTATGTTTCTCTTGCACAGCAGCTAACAGGTTTGAACTGCATGCTCTTGAGTTGGCAGCACAATTTCTTAACCCACTAGGCCACCAAAGTTCCCTTGTTTGTATATATGACTCACTTATGTACTTTTGTACTTTTTCCCCCTAAGTAAAAATATTAGTCTTATTTTTTTTAAATCTCTTTAGGTTTTTTTGACAAACAGATCATTTAATGAATAAAAGCTGTTAGAAGGTGAAACCTGTGAGAGCTAGAACTCAACACAACTGCCTTGGTTTTTCTAATCTGAAAGTTTACTATCTTTGACAAGGCAGAAAACGTGTCTGTTGCTTGTTTTAGAGGAAAATATTTACCTTTTTTTCTCTAACAGGTTTCTGCTTTACAGTTCCCCGGTTTTTGCAGGCTTTATTTTAATAGAGTTTATTAGGCATAAACTATATTTCAGATTACTTGACTAATAAACCATACATACCAGTACACTAATAGACACCTTCTCTAATTGCTGTCAAGTGGATTCTAACTCATAGCTCACTATTCAGAAGGTTTCCAAGGCTGGAAATTGCAAGGGAGGAGATGGCACATCTTTCTCCGGTGGAGCAGCTGGTGTATTTGAACTGCTAGAGAAGCACAATTTTTGGGTTAACAGCACAACTCTGAGGACTATTCTAGCAGAACTGTGTATATGCTATTATAGTAGTAACATTGATTAAAGCACCTATAAGAGCAGTGATCATATTTTAATTCCATGGAAGATTTGTAGTTGCCACTTTATTCTGATTTTTTCCAAAGAGTTTCTCCAAAGACACTTCTGACATTTTGCACTAATGGAGTATTGCTTCGCACATTGATGGCAGGAGATAGTACCTTGTCAACTGTGACACATGTTATTGTGGTAAGACTATTGTTTAATTTTCCATATAAAACTTAAACTGCTTATTAATACATGTGACTATAATTTAAGAAGCAACTGCATTTTTATAATCATTTATTATTTTGAATGAGATAATGAAACTATTTTTTTATTGTATATAATTTTTAATGTGACACTGATGTGTCAATTGTGATAATGGTTTCCCATGGTGGACAGTGTTTGGTGGAGCTTGGAAGCAGGAGTGGCATCCACTTGCCTCCGGAAACTCTATGATCTTGGAGAAATGATGAAAGTTAAACAAGTATTCAGGTCTTTTGTTCATAGGGTCGCTATGAGTCGTCTATGACTCAACAGCACTTAACAACATATAATTATTAGACATGAGTATTTTATATTAACTAAGGACATTCTTATCATTAGATTTATTGGTGAAATAAAACAAACATGTCATTTTTAAAAATGTGCATTTTACATTAAAAAATGTGTAGTACACTTAGAATTTTCCAAAAATAGCAAAAGTTTTCTTTTACTTCTGTACTTGATCATTTGATCTCCTGGTATTCTATATTTCTTAGTGTTACATAGTTCAAAAATCACTAAACGTCATGATTAAGTTGCTAATAAGTTAACTACTTATAAGTAGGTAGAAAAAGGTGGTTTAATAACTCCTTATTAATTATTTATTTGGTACAGTGTGTCAGAAAAAGAGATTCAGTTTTATAAGGTTGCAAAAGCAAACTTGGAAATGTATTTGTTCTGTGTTTCATATTCTTTATGGCGTTATACAATATGATGGATTTTGGGGTGAGGGAAATTGGAAGAATCTGGTCTGAAAAACAATGTGTTTGAATTTTGTAAATAAGCTCATATAATAAAAAACGAAAAAATGCAATTGGTAGTAACAGAAGCACATTTAGATAGGTTTTACTACTATTAAAACTATTAAATTAGACTCTACTAATATAGAATATAGTATATTATAGGGTTAAAGGGGCAGAATTTTGTTATTAAGAGTAGTTTGTTAATTTGATTGTTTCTAGATTGTTTATAATAAAAATTGTTAACTAATATTGAATGGCATTCACATTTGAATATAAACTCAGAACAGCTCCAATATTTTGAAGACTTAGTAATTTATCATACGTTAGGTGTTAACGTGGTTTTATCTTTGTTTCTTACAGGATGAAGTACATGAAAGGGATCGATTTAGTGATTTTTTACTTACAAAGCTAAGAGATTTGTTGCAAAAGCACCCAACTTTGAAACTAATTCTTTCCAGTGCTGCATTGGATGTGAATCTCTTTATAAGATATTTTGGAAGTTGTCCAGTGATATATAGTAAGTTTAAATTGTCAGATTTCTTCTAGAATTTTTATGACAAATATTTATTCTAATATAAATTGGGAAGTTTTCTTTTGTGATTTAAATGAAAGTTTATCAATCATACAGTTTTCTTCATTTAATCGTTCATACACATTTTGTTTGAAAATATTAATGACAATAATTAATTATAATATCTAATCCCTTATTGTATGTTACCTTTCCTTCATCCACCTTACTAAGAATCTATTATCTAATTATTTATTTTACTCAACTTGTGAAATATTTTTAAGTAGGATATTTGTGTCTTCTGACCTGCCTCATTACAGCAGAAACCCGCATTCACTGTTGTTGAGTTGACTTATACTCATCATGACCCTCCATTAAGTTTCTCATGGAAGAAGATGGCCTCATCTTTCTCCCCTGGAGTAGCTCATGGGTTTGAATTACCGACCTTTGAATTAGTGGCTCAACACTTACCTAGTATGTGACCACTCTTAATAGTTTCATCTTTTGTAAGGATAGATTTCTAAAACATGGAATTACTGTCTAAAAGAGGGTATTTTTAATTCTAATAGCTTTTGCCTCCAACTTTTTTCTAAAGACTGAAATAAGTCCTGTTTCTATGTGTATAGATGTGTTTGTGCACATTTACCAGCATTAGTCTGACAGTGATAAAACTGCCAACCTTAATATTAAAATTTTAGGGAAAATGAAATTTAAATTAACTTACATTAGCTTTTTAATTAACTTAAATTTTCCTGTAATAGTTCTGTTTGTTGCCTGTGCCCCTCCTTGTTTTGTTTTTAACTACTCAGATGCTATAATTTATTTGGCACCATTATCTGTCTAATCTATTTACACGATAGTCTGCACTTTCTCAGTCTTTAAAGGCTTTCTTGTCTTTTGAATGATAAATATTGGCATTTTCTATGATTATTTAGTTGATTCTTTTCTTTCCCCCACTTATTGTTTCTCTCTCTTTTATTTTTCTTCTTTTGTATTTTGTGCTGCACTCTACTAAACATCAGAGATGCATTGTTGTCTCCCCTGGAAGCTCTCATTCATTCATGCCTTTAGCTTCTAGCTTCTCTGTCACTGATGACTTTATTTTCAGTTTGAATCTTTATTTTCAATTAATATTATTTTCCAGAATTAAAATTTTGTGTACTGAACACATGACTTACATGTCTTGTAGATAGCTTACTTTCAGACTGGCTCTAACAGTAACAGAACGTTACTTAGATACTTTTGTACTTGGGATCAAAAATGTATTTGTCTTGTGTTGCCTGTGTTGATTAATCCTACCATCCTTGGCACTTATACTGCTAATTTATAAAAGTATCTTAATTTCTTGAAACATTCTTGAGTGATCAAGCACATAAAACCTAGTCATCTGCTGAAATAACGGGTCTTCTTAATACCTCACATCATTGACATGTCATAACAAGCTATTATTCCTGAGAAGCAGTGATGTCAGTTTGAATACTGACATGCATCTGATTCAGGCAAGGGACTTTTCATTTACTTGCTATGCGTCTGAGAGCTGGACAATAAATAAAGAAGAATTGGTGCCTTTGAGTGGTTGTGTTGCAGAAGAACACTGAATGTTGCATGAAGTGCCAAAAAACCAAACAGATAATGTCTTAGAAAAAGTGCAGCCAGAGTGAAGCTTTGTCTCCACATACTTTGGACATGTTGTTAGAAGAGACTGTTACTTGGAAAAGTGAATGGTCAGTAAAGGAGAGGAAGACTGTCTATTTCAGTGAGTTAGATTGAGACTTGACACACTGACTGCGGCAGTGGTTTCACCTGTGTTAACTTTACTCCCTCCCATTATATGGGGTTTACTCATACTGGTTTTTTTCTTGGTTTTTTTTTCCCCCCTGCATTGCACGCATGTTTCTTTCCACATAATCTAATTATTTTCTCTTCTTTAGTGCTTATTTTCTCAATGAACATGCTTTTCTGGCTTAATCAGTCTTCTTTTTATTCTTACATTTCACTGTCTTCTGTTTCTCTCTTCATAGAACTTTTCACAACTCTTAATTTTATATTCTATAGGATTAGGTTACTGGCTATCTCCCCTGCTTGCTTACAAGCTTCAGGAGAGTAGGAGGTGAGGCTGTTTGTCTGTTTCCCATTTGTATTTTTAGTACCTAGAATTATACCAACATGGTACAGTTAGTAAACAGGAAAAAAATGAAAAAGAAGAAAATGAACAGTTGTTTAAAATAAGTATAAAGTTATATGACAATGATATTACTTGAAAAATTAATTGAATTATGAAGTTGCTTTGAGATTTTACACTCAGACTTTAATTTTGGAGTCTTTTGTTTTTATATGAATTATCTAGGATGCAAATTTACTGTTTTTAAAATTCTGTTTAGTACAGGGAAGACCATTTGAAGTAAAAGAAATGTTTTTGGAAGACATTTTAAGAACTACTGGGTATACAAATAAAGAAATGTTAAAGTACAAAAAGGAAAAGCAACGAGGTAAGCTTTTTATTAAAAATACCCTAGTAAAACCCACCACCACAACCCGAACACATAAATTTTGGTAGTATTTGAAGTGTTCTAGTCTTACGTTCGCACAGGAAGGGATTGCTCATCCTTTTCCCATGGAGCAACTGTTGTACTGAACCTCATGCCTTAGGGATTTCAGCTCATCTTCTTAACCACTAGACTACCAGAACAGAGTGTGGAAATTATGCAACAATCTCATTAATATCACATGCAAGGAAAATACTGTTGAAGATCATTTAAAAAATGTCTAGAAGAGTACATAGACAGGGAATTGCCAGACATTCAAGCTGGATTTAGAAGAGGTTGTGCCACAAAGGATATCATTGCTGATGTCAAGTGGATCCTGGCTAAAAGCAAAAAATACCAGAAGAATATCTATTTGTGCTTTCTTGACTATGCAAAAGCATTTGACTGATTTGACTGTGTGGATCATAACAAATTATGGCTAACATTAAGAGAATGGGAATTCCAGAACACCTAATTGTACTCAAGCAACATTTATACCTAGATCAAGAGACCATAGGGAACACTGCATGATTTAAAATTAGAAAGGGTGTTTATCCTTTCTCTATACCTATTTAAGCTGTATTGTTGTTTTGTGTTGCTGAGTCGCTTGCGAGTCATAGTGACCCTATGTACAAGAACCCTAAACCCTGCTGTATCTGTGCCAACCTCATTGTCTCCGACACACTTACTTCCACTACCCCAATCACTGAATTGATCCATCTCATTGGAATCTTCCTCTCCTGTGCTGTCCCTCCATTATCCCAAACATGATGTCTCTCTCCAAGAACTGGTCCCTCTTTGCAACATGCCCAAAGGATGTCAGATGAAGCTTCAGAACCCTTGACTCCAAGGAGCATTCTGGCTTCCCCCTCTCCAGGACAAACCTGTTTGTTCTTCTAGCAGTCCATGGTATATTCAATACGCTTCTCCAGCACCACAGCTCAAAGGCATCAATTCTCTTTCTGTCATCCCTAGTCACCATCTAGCTCTCCGATGCACAGCATGTAATTGCAAAGACTAGAGCCTGGATCAGGCACACCTTAGTCTCTAGCCTGACAGTCCAATGTCCCAGACGATCTGTTCTGCATATGGATTGAAAAGTTATAGAGACAGAATACATCCCTGGAGGACCACCTTCCCGATTTTGAACCATGCAGTGTTTCCTTGCTTTGTTCTAATGACTGCCTCTTGGTCCAAGTATAGGTTTTACATAAACACAATCAAATGTTCTGGGATTACCATTCTTCTCAGAGTCAGCCACAGCTTGTTGTGATCCACACAGTCAAAAGCCTTTGCATCGTCAATGAAGCACAGATAGACATTCCTCTGATACTCTCTGCTTTCTGCCAAGATCCATCTAACATTAGCTACAATATCCCTAGTACCATGACCTCTTCTAAACTCAGCCTGCACATCTGGCAGTTCTCTGTTGACGTGTTGCTCCAGTTGCTTTTGGATACTTTTCAGCAGAATCTTGCTTGCAGGTGATACTAATGATATTGTTCGATAATTTCTGCATTCTGTCAGGTCACCTTTCTTTGGCATGGGAACAGATATCGATCTCTTGCACTCAATTGGCTCGCTGTCTGTCCTCCAGATTTCTTCGCACAACTTAGTGAGCATATCCAAGGCAGCATCTGTTTGTTGAAATATGTCAGTTGGTATGCTCTCAGTTCCTGGAGCCTCGTTTTTTTGCCAATTCTTTCAGAGCAACATCCTCCTTCATCACCACAGGCTCTTTCTTGTACATTATCTCATGAAATTCTGTGTCAATTCCTTCTGGTGTAGTGACTCTATTCTCCTTCTATGTTCTTTTAATCTTCTTGCATCATTTAACTCTCTACCCAAAGCATCCTTAAGTATTGCCCCTCGTAGCTTGAGTTTAGTTTTCACCTCCTTCAGCTTAAGAAACACTGAGCAAGTTTGACCTTTTGATTTTCTGACTCCAGCTCTTTGCACATTTCATTATACTATCTTGCTTTGTCATCCCGAGCTGCCCTTTTTAAAATTTTCTGTTCATCTCTTCAATATCTTGATGTCTTCCTTTAGCTTTGGCTTCTCGGTGCTCTAATGCAATATTCAGAGTCCCCTCTGACATCCAACTTGATCTTTTCTTCCTATTCAGCCTTTGTAATGATATTTTGCATTCTTCATGGATAATATTCTTGATATCTTCCCACAGCTCTTTTGGTCTTCATTCATTGGTGTTCAAAGCCTCAAGCCCATTTCTGAGATGATTTTAAAATTCAAGTGGGGTAGAGTTAAGGTTAAATTTTGGTTCCTGTGGATTTCATCTGTATGCCGAGCAAATTATTTGAGAAGCTGGTATCTATGAAGAAAACTGTGACATCAGGATTGGAGGAAGACTTATCAATAACCTTCATTATGCACATGACACAACCTTGCCTGCTGAAAGTCTGGAGGACTTGAAGTATTTGCTGCAGAAGGTTAAACAGTGCAGGCTTCAATCTGGATTGCATCTCATTGTCAAGAAAACAAAAATTTTTTACCACTGAACCAAAGGTAACATCATGATGGATAGGAAAAGGATTGAGATTGTCAGTGACTTTATTTCCCTTAGATCCATAATCAGTACACTTAGTACCAGCAGTCAGGAGATCAGGAGATGTATTGGGAAAATCTGTAGTCAGGGACCTCTCCAAATTATTAAAGATTAATGATGTAAATTTGAGCACTTCGGTGTGCCTGATGAAGACCATGGTCTTTTCCGTCACTTGCTGTGCATCTGAAAGCCGGATAGTGAATAAGATGACAGAAGAGTTTTTGAACTGTTAGCATTGGAGAAGAGCACTGAATATCCTATGAACTGCCAAAAGAACCAACAGATATGTCTCGAAGAAAGTGCAGCCAGAGTGCTCCTTGGAGGCAAAGATGATGCAGTTTCATCACACATACTTTGGGCATGTTGCTGGGAGAGATTATTCCTTGGAAAGGGCAATCATCATGCTTGGGAGAGAGGAGAGGTGGTGACAGAGAGGAAGACTTTCAACCAGAGGGATTGACAGAGTGACTGAGGCAGTGGACTTGAGTGTCTCAGAGATTATAAGGATAGCATGGGACCAGGCCAGTGTTCAGATCAGTTGTTCAAGTTCTACTTTCTAATTTAAGCTTTGAAGTTCAAATCTACGGAGAGAATTTAAAGTGGAAATCAGAGTTAGGGTATCTATAATAAAAGATTAACTACTATTTTAAGGGGCAGAAGAATGTTTAAAAATATGCTAGGTGCTCACAGCATACATGCCCTAGAATGAGTAGGTAATATGGGAGTGAAAAAAGTAGCATATAAGCAAAGATGTGATGCTATCTGAAGCACAAATGTTAAGTTTTAATATCTTGGTTGCATCTGTACTTTGATGTTAGCATTTTCTTTGTCTACTAATGCTTTTCCTATAATGATTTATATTATATCTTGGCATTCGAATTGGAATTTAGACCTCTTCTACTTTTAGCTGTTTTATTCATGAATGACAACTTGGCTTTAAGATTTGGTTTCCTCATTTGTTCTCAATGTATTTGGACAAATACATTAAGACTTTATATTTTGGATTCTTGAATTTCTTAAGAGTATAGCTACTAAAATCTATTTCATAAACCAATGCTGCATCACTGATATATAAATTATAAAACTACCAGATCTTGATGAAATTGTATATAATTTGGAGGCAAGAGTGATGAGGCTTCAACTCACATAATTCATGCACATTATTAGGATGGGCTGTTCTTTGGGGAGGACGTGATGCTGGGAAGGGTGAAGAGTTTGCATAGGAGAGGAAGACCCTCAACCAGGTTTATTGAAACGGTGATGCTACAGTGGGCTCCAGTGTGTTAGCAAGTGTGAAGACGGTACAAGTTAGGACAGGTTTCAGATCTTTTATTCATAGGGTGGCTATGAGTCGTTCTCGACTCAGTGGCACCTAATGTGTATATGTTGAACCTTAGAAGTTTTTTAAACTAGTGAAATGGTACTCATTTAGTTAACAGTTTGCTACAAAATGTTGTGAGAATATTAGTCTCTAATATAAAAAAATATAACTAGAATATTCAAATTATATAATTACTTAGAAGTCAACTCTTTACTGCTAGATTAAAAAAATGAATTTTTAAAGTAGCGTCCTATATTATTATTATTATTCAGTGTAACACATTTTATTGAATGCTCCTGATTAATATATTTTTAAAAGTATTAAGCTGAAATTAAGACTAACTTTTAAGTACTACCTTTGAACTCAAACTATTGCTTTTGAATCAGAACTAATTCATAACTAATGTACATTGGGTTTTCTGAGATTATAAATCACATGAGAGGAGATTGCCCATCTTTCTTCAGTGCAGCCTCTGGTGGATTTGAACCACCAGAGAGATGCCACCTTTGGGTTCCCAGCGCAACTCACTAAAGACTATGTTCCCAGAGCTTCCTCATTTAATTTTTTTTTAAACAGACAAATACACTTCAAAAGCCAAGATTTTTATATCTTTTTATTTGCTCATTTCTTTAGAAGAGAAGCAACAAACTACTCTGACAGAATGGTACTCAGCTCAAGAGAATACTTTCAAACCTGAGTCTCAGAGGCAGAGAACTGTACCAAATGTGACTGAAGAGTGTGACTTATTGGATGATGGTGGTGATGCTGTCTTTAGTCAGTTGGTAAGACCTCAGTGGGTTTGTGGTAATATTTTGAAGGTTATGTAAAAGAAAACTTTATGAGATTAAAATTTTTTCACTTGTAATTAAAGGGTAGTTCTTTTAGCTTATCTTTGTGATATTTTTCAGAATAGACACTTTTTGAAAAATTTTATTTTACAATTTTCATGAACATTTACAGAGATTTTGGATTTTCATTCATTCATTGTTGCACTTTTTTCTTTACCTCCCTGCCCCCAGTTTCCTCTTTCTTTGAAAAGCAAAAGATAAACTTCTTAAAAAATTCAATCCTCTCTGACCCCGACCCTTCCCCCCCCCAGTCCCCGCACCTCAGATGCACTCCACTGTACAACCTTAATTCTGGATTCCTGTGATTATCATAATATGCTATCATGTATCACTTTTAAACTGTTCTCTTCCTCATCTGTTTCAATTCACTATACATAATCTATCCAGTTTTTCTCAGTCTTACCCCAATCAGAATAGACACTTTTTAGAAAAGGAATTTAACTGCTTTTGAGCAATAGAAGGTATGTTCTGAAAATAAGCTTACAATTTTCTAGTAGTGAAAAGGTTAATTGCGCACAGGTGACTGAGCTTTCAAAAATACTTTTGAAGAGTGGTTATTAATTGCTGTCCATCATAGAGAAGATTCTTTTAGTTCAATGAAAAGTATTTTGACTATATAAATTAGTGATTCCTAAGGTTGACTGCATGTACGTATCACCTGAGGAGAGTTTAAAGCACTATGAAGTTAGGAGTCTGGTTCCTATCACCAGAGGTTCTAAATTACTAGTTCTGGTTTACTACCCCATGTAAGTTAAAAAATGTCCAGGTGATAGTTTTCTGATGCATATTTGGAAGAGAGAACCGTTGGTGCAGTGTGTGGTTTGGTAAGATTAGATAAAAGCCCCTTGTTGGCAAGCTTTTTCTCAGAAGATGAATATAGGAAAAAGAATGTAGAAGTAATAGTTTGTGATGAAATCATAAATGTTGTTGTTGTTGGGTACCATTGAGTTGCCTGTGACTCACAGCAACCCTGTGTACAACAGCCCTAAACTTTCCTCTATCCTGTGCCAATCTTATTGTCTCTGACACACCTATCCCCATTACCCCAGTCACTGAATCAGTCTGTCTCATTGAGAGTCTTCCTTCCTGTGCTGTCTCTCCCCCCTCCTCAGCATGACGTCCCTCTCGAAGGACTGGTCCCTCCTTGTGGCATGTCCATAGTATGTCACTCGAAGCTTCAGAATCTTTGCCTCCAAGGAGCAACCTGTTTTAATCCTCTCCAAGACAAACCTGTTTGTTCTCTTAGCAGTCTATGGTATATTCAATACTCTTCTCCGATACCACAGCTTAAAGGCATCAATTCTCCTTCTGTCATTCCTAGTCATTGTACAGCTCTCGGATGCATAGCAAGTGATTGCAAAGACAATGGCCTGTATCAGGTGTACCTAAGTCTCCAGACTGACATCACTGCTCCTCAGTACTGATTTTTGTCAAAGCCTTTATGATTATATATGTATAGTTAACAGTTCTTGTGGATTTATGACATTTGTCACATGTGAGTGTTAAGCTGTTATATAATTTCTAATATTTGTATTTATTTGTTTTAAAGACAGAAAAAGATGTGAATTGCCTGGAACCTTGGTTAATAAAGGAAATGGATGCTTGTCTTTCTGACATATGGCTGCATAAAGATGTTGATGCATTTGCTCAAGTCTTCCATCTTATTTTAACTGAAAATATCAGTGGTAAGTTTCATTTATTTCAAGACTCATTTGCTTATATTTTTGGTTCACAATTAAGAATTTGTTATTTTGCTTACGTATGTTACTCAAATTCAGAACTCAGGATCCAATGAAGATAATAGAATAAATAAATTTTGTATTATATCAGGAATTCTAAATCTGTATATCCACATAGTTTCTGGAAGTCTGTGAAACCATGACAGTAATGTGCAAAATAGATTTGTTTGCTTTTTTAAACATGGTTATATTTTTACTTCCCTACTGTTACTTTGGATTTTATGCATTTGGCTAGCAGTAAGCCTGGTTCATAGGCCTGGGTTTTTTAAAATTCATTTGGGCCCTCGGGTCTGCAGCCCTCCGGCCTGGTATTACTGTGTTTGAAGTGAACATTTTTCTAAGTGGTATAGCACTGCTCTGTCATTTTGTTGTATTGAGGTAACTTGGGATTGCTGTGCCGTTGGTGTGTCAGATACCATAATGATTACACATGGTTGACAGTTTTGGGTGGAGCTCCCGGATTAAGACAGGCTTGGAAGCAGGAGTGGCATCCACTTCCTAAAATTGCCTCTAGAAACTCTATGAACTTTGAAAAACGAAAGTAATTATTGGACAAGGTTAA